TTTTTCGAAAAATCTGTCTGAGCAAAGTATGGAAATTGGCGAAGTTACCGCATCATAGCCTAGAAGTCAGGGTAGGGCAAAAGTTCACCTTCAAAACCTGATCAGACTTAAGAAATGCTATTGAAAAAATCATTCCAAGTAGACTCATGCCTAACTTTTTTGATTAGGTGACAGTAGATACTTATTTTTCAAAAGTTGCTTTGTAAGGATTAGATTTGTTTTTACGAGTCGATCACAGATTGATACCAGTTTCAATGGGGTTCTCTAACTGATATTCTCCCAACACATTCCCTAGGTAGTTTCTCGGTATACTATTAGATAGAGATATGGATTTTAAGATTAAGGATAGGGTCTAGGATTACACTTAGAATTGGGGGATTTGGATTACGGTCAGAGTCACGGGTAGGTTGAGCGACAGTGTCAGAAATATCAATGGATCGCAGAGCACTATGATTAACAGTCACCTACCGGGTTGTAGTCATTGGAACACATTCTCAAAACACATTCTCTCACGACAAGTATACCCTGTAATATTTTGCTTACAATGTTTTCTAATGCATTTTTTAACAGTTCATGCGACTTCATGAGTCAGAAATCTGTCTGATTGCTTGTTCAAGGTCACGGTGGCTTTCGCTATGATAGTTTAATTTAGCCTGGAAGTTTCGTCGTCTTAAATACTTGTCCCGTTGTCGGTGGGCCTTCACCCAACTGACTGACTGACTGAGTGACTGACAGTGTATGCTACTGGTAACATCATTTTATTCCACCTGTAACTGCTACCAACATCATTAGTTATTTATTATCATATGGCTACAGTAAGTATGGCTACTAAGTAAGTTATTCAGTTAGATACACATTCAGAGTAGAAAGTCTACAGGTCACCGCAACGACACTCACAGTTTTCCTAAAGTATAAATAATATTCAAAAAACAATTTAACTATAGACGACTACCCCTATGTTGTTTATCTTGTATTCAATAATACTGGTCTGAATTATACTTACTTCTCATTAATTGGAATAATGATAAAATCTTTGCTGAAAACGTCATCTCGACGTGTCCACCGAGCGACACCAGCGTGTCGAGCACGAATTACTCTGACGAAAGAGAAAGAGAAAAAAAAACTTTATTATGAAAAACAGTCTGAATCGGAAACGTACACAACACAATATTATAATTCATATATAAGGTGTAGAGCACATGTCGAAAACCACTAGCGTCAATGTGTATTTCAACCCACTTTAAATATGTCATGTGAGATGGGGGGGTGCGTATGCGTGTGAAAGTGGGTGGGTGCGTGGGTGGGTATACGTGCAACATCCAAACACCACATACCATTCATTCTCATGACACTTATCAATGAGAACTTATTTGTATGCATTGCATGATAATACAATCATATGATTCCTGTGAATACAACCATGGCAGCTGACATGCTTAGGTGTTCCATGTTTCACTTAGGTATTCACAAGATGAACATGCACATACTACTACAAATTAACAGTCGAGTAACTGTTCTACAACTCAACCAGCAGTTCCCACGCCAGTATTGAGGTAGACAGCGGTTACCAGAAGGTGGGAACAATATCAACAATCTCTTCAAAGTTAAACCACGACGACTGCTTTCAATATAGAACTTTGCACAGATGTGCAGCAGCAGTTCCAGTTGCCACTCCCTCTCCCTCCCTTCATAGGACTCACGAACCTAGAGAAGAGAGTAAAGAGACATTCAAAGGAGAGATACACAGAGGGAAAGCGACAGAGAGAGAGAGACAATAAAATCAAGTGTGAGGGGAGAAGAATAATAGTTATATGGAAGAACAATAGTTTCATTCGACATGACGAACCATGAGGAGTGAATGCATTATCTGTGCGATCACTGTCAACTAGGACTTTGTGCTATCTATATCAAAGATAGTCTCCAGGCTTCATTGGTTTTTACCATCCTTAGGACCCTAACCAGTCAGTCAGTAAGTATACACCTCGCTGATTTGCCCGCTAAAGCCATGTTTTGCTGTGACCACCTAGACCTAGCTCTGGCTCCTTTCTAACCAGATCCATCCTATGTCAGTGGCTAACATTTCCCGTCAGTCGAGGAGGGAGGTGACTTAACAGCCATGCGTAACAACATGTCCTGACCACCTCATTCGAATTACCTTCACAACCTTGTTGATTGGTATTCCCTCCTCATGGAGCACTCGACCGATGCTTCACCTCAATGTTAGTCACCTTATTACACCTCCCACCTAACACAGGATGTAGATAGAACACAGACACATATGATGAAAGATGGCTAGCTAGCTGGCTTTCCTTCTCATGGCTTCCACTCTCAATGGCAATGTCTGATGGCCATTCATAATGGAGGATGTAGGGAAGTGCTGTTGGTGCCGCTGTGCTATACCCACGTGCTTTGATCGACAGCCAGCCGAATATCACGTCTACACCGGAGATTGCGGAAAACAAAAATTATTTCCCGTCTTCTGCATAAATGGTTATTCAGAAAGGACTCAGAAACCCCTACAATACAATGATTGATACACAGACACACTGAAGTTTAGACGACTATGACAAGAACGAAAATCAACCAAACAAGGAATTCAAAGCATATCAAACATTCCCACCGCTCTCTATATCACCATCTTCTCCAGAAGAAATTTATTGCGCCTATATTAATAAGAAATTTATCAAATTCCCTTCCCCATTAACAAAGTAAATACTACTGTAAAACATGTTGTCCTGACTTACCGACGAAATTCCCGAAATCTATGACAACAGAAATGTTATTCATTATTAACTAATTTATCAATATTCTCGGTATTTCTACTCTGTTATTTCAAGTACACCTTGCTTATGACCATTTCATACTACACAATACTTGATGCATCATCATAGATGGACAGATGAACACAGACTAACCGACAAAGTATTTTCCAGTCGTTTCGATATCGAGATAGAATAAAAGAGGGAGGAGGAGGAGGTATCAGGACGGACAAGCTTTTCAGTTAGCTGCAAAGTCATTCATTATTTATGCATGTACCAGTGACATAATGTTTATGTTTATGACTTCAATTTCTGACGGTTTGTGAATGTCATATACAGTATATTTTGACTAATAAAGGTTGTTCCCCTTGTTGTTATGGTTGTTGTTGTTGCTCTTGTTCCCGTCGTCGTCGTCGTTTTCCCCAGTCTCACTGTTCTGCCCATCTCAGTGTGGTATCAATCAGTTGACGGTTATATTTACGTGTTCTCTCTCTCTCTCTCCTGAAGGTGAATTCTAGTCAAGTTTCATATGACTAACTCAGTATTATCATTACTCCGTCATAAAATGAATAATCCAATAGAAAAATAAAAATCCCATATACCTGTTACAATGATGGGAAGAAAAGTAAAGCAGTTTTCATACTCACATTATTCATCAATTCACATCAGTCACAATCAGTGAGTGATAAGTGCTTCTCACAAACACACACATCTTCATTGAAATCCAGGATCATTACTCCTCTCCTCTCCTCTCCTCTCCTCAAATTTAAATCCTGCGTTTGACTATTATTTATACAAGTCTTACTGTTAGGCAGCACTTACTATGCTTGTTAGTCGTAAAGTCATCCATCATTGATGCAAACATCAATCAGATATTGATTGAGCAAAGAATATTCTTTGAGATAATGTCCTACAGCCAGTTACATAGGCCGTGCAATTAGGCCTGTTTATCGTAGGATTTCCGATCACCACATCCTGCATAGTGTGGTAAAGTAAGAGACAAACGAAATACATTCATAAACTCTATTCTACCTCATCACCTCATGGATATAGAACACAAGATTGATGTCATCTACCGTATACCAACTGATCTTATTAACTTTACATTGAGAGTTCGTCTATTATATGCTGCTGGAGGTCTTGGAATCCACATTGAGAAGACTATCGTATGTATCCAGAAGAAACTGATTCACACACTTTCACACACATACCAGTGAGTGCTGGCCGTCAATCAAGGTTATAATCATCCTTAATTTATTGTAGGAATTTCCTTAATTTTATGTGATATTTATTCTATTTACTATTACATTTATATATGCATATTTGTATATGAATATTTTCACTATACAGATATTGATTATTTATCGGTGGTTCAAATTTCCGTTGATGGGTAATACTTTTTTCGTGATACTGATTTTATTGAAACCATCCGAATTCTCAGTAAGATTTCTGAACAATAAGCATCAGTAGTCAATGTCTGCTACAAATGTTTAATTCTCACCAAGGAACAATGTGGTGACCTTCTTACTCTGGAAAACATTCCACACTGTTTTAAGCGGGAGATATCATAAAGTCTATCCAAAAGGCGAGGTGTTAGGACGGATCAAGTAAGTTTCTTAGCCGTAAAATCATGATTGATGTAATCATCAATCCCAATTTCGAGTATTTATCTACCTATCCACTACATTTTATATTGATGTGTTAAGGATAATTTAAGCTTTTGTTGGAAATAATAAAGGTTACTGTTGTTTACTCAGATAAATCTGACTTCTGTGTGTATGCCTACTCAGTGTATGGGAATATATCCAAGTGATCAGTTGACTATACTGTCGAAAATGCAGGCGCATTTTAGTCAAGTTAGACAACAACAAATCACTAACACTGCATAACTACTACAGTTACCCTTCTATGTGGTGATGATGATGATGATAATGACGATGATGAAAAGGCAACTAAAGCAAAGACTTACTTCGTTAACAGCAATCCAGTTAAAAGAGTTTATCAAAGGTGAAAGAATAATCTTTGTGAATAAAGGTGAAATCAACATGTCAGAGTACTCACAGTTCACTGATACGTATGTATATCTATTTATGTATATGCAACCGCAGTTCTTACACATTGACATCACATTGCATTAACAGTTGTCACTTCGCACTGTTACACTCATTTATACAATGCGAAAGCTTCTCGAACAACTGACCTTACACACTGCAAATAATTCATCTTGAAATTGTCTCTCCCTGTCTCTGTTTGAGACGCGTGCAAAGGCATCAGAATTAGCCTCTCAGGACTAAACCTTTATGGTAATCACATCCAGGAGAGTAGTTGATGAATATGCGTTGAAAGCCTGATTAACAAGAAACGACTATACACATTATATATTTCATCATAATTATGAATTTCGATTCAGAACAATAACAAACATACACTGATATAAATATCAATACGGATTGGTTACCTTCAAATCTGTAGGGAATAATTCTACTACTGGTAATCCGATCACCGTACCTGAACAACTCTACCCCAACCTTAAGCATGTTTTTAACAGCCTACGATACATCATAAAACATTTATCATGAACAATCGAACTAAATATTTCCGAATAGAGAAAAATTCAAAGTCACACCGTCTTCTAATCTGTGATGGAGCAAGTCTCTCTCTAGTCGTCATTCTTATTGAAGAAAACCAATGGAGATTATTAGTGGTAATTGCTTCCTCGATGAGAAGAAGCACACCTTTCATATTACATACTTTTGTTCCGATTTGATGTGATATTCAACATTTGAGAATGAGATGTCAAACTCTTATTAACTCATCAAAATACTTCTCAACTATCCTCCTCCTATCCTGTCCTACTTGCAGGATATACCCACTACAATAAATATTAGAACTATAAGAAAACAAAACAACATGGGATCCTAGAGATTATCACTCCCTCTCTCTCTTCCTACTGTCTGTTGCACTCTATGATCATTGCAAAATGAATGATGAAAGGATTTCAAATTGAAGTATGTGCTGAAGATGTCGCCTGCCTGGTAGGACGATGACAGCTTCGCAAATTAACTATCCAGCTCAGAGAACACAACCGCATCAAAATCATCCACCTGAGCTACAAATCTTCTCTATCATATCTGAAAGGATTTGTTTATGTTTAAGTGTCATACGTACAAAAAGCTTCAGCACATCGGTTGATGGACATGTACATCACGTTGTGGAATTTGCTTGAGACGAATTAATGTGAGGGAAGGTAAGCTGATGGATTATACTATTTCGTAGGGACATTTTTTGCCATGACACCATCTGTCATTAACCCAGATTTTGTATTTTTGTGTAATTACTGGGAAAGCTGAAACAGAAAGTAATATCGTTTCAACAGTTTAATAGTACAGCACTGCAGAGATGCAGCATCTTGGAGAGGGGGGTGAGGGCGAGGGCGAGGGCGAAGGTATCACTGTACCTGTAGATGAAACTGTCTTATTAAAGAGAAAATACAACCGTGGTCGTGAACGAGCGAATAACGTTTGGGTGGTTGGTTGGTTGGTTTATACGATACTTCTCTACGGAAACGATTCGTCGAGAGATAAACAGATACAAAGTCAAGCACTTTAATACTCACTATCACTCGACTGGAAAAACGGGGATCTGTAATACACAAAAATCAGTGGACAGGATATAACTCCTTGTCATCTACATTTCTACATTAGACAGATAACTATGGACGGACACCAGTTTCACTTGGATAACAACAACATTACAGTCAGAGAACTTCTAGAAACCTCGTACTCAAATGAATAATCACCGAGCGATTAATAAACACACTACTTACGTTAGACCAAATTTACCAACTAATAAATCAAAAAAATAAACCACACGACAAGAAAGTTCAACTCCCAAGCCGATAAAAATGATCAAAGATATGAATTAATGACGAAGTCAGACAACGGTTGCCAGGAGATACAACTATATATATATTTATATCAAGTAAGTTCATTTCATTACTAAACACCTGTGGTGAAGGAAGGTGTTGTCTGTCTAGGACAGGAGGACAACGAAAGCTTAACACAATTAAGTCAACCAGCTTCTCAGAGAACACGATCAAAATCACCCTCCTGAGCTACGAAGAATCTTCTCCACTATATTATCATCAGCCTATAGATATATACATATACACATTTACATATAACTAATAAAATGAATTCAAGTTGAGACCAAACCACAAGCAATAATAATCCCCTTCCCGTGTGTATTGAAAAACAAAACCTACTCTTCTCTGTTTGTCGTAGACGATGGATAATCGCATGTCAATCGAGTATAGAAAAACACATTGAACAGGTGAGTAACATGCCTCTGATACTTTGTCAGTTTCTCAAAGTACAAATATTTCAAATAAAAGTTGATTATTGAGTCGTTTAAAAGACCTCCAGGTGAAAGGCACGAAATATCTTCAGTTGTTAATGTTATGCCATCAGGAGACCCAGGCGGTTTATAGACCAAAACACTAAAACAAAAAATACACATAGATAAGGGAATTTTAAATGGAAACTACTAGTCTTACAAAAACTTTAGATAAGAACAAAGTAACGATAATAATAATAATAATAATAATAAATAAAAACAATGTTCAAATGATACACCAACATTTCTGCGTCTTTTTTAATTCATGGAAAATTCCCATTGTAACATATAGAAAATCAGAACAAGTGATGCAGCGAAGAGACTCTTTTTCGACGAATTTATTTCTCTACGAAACCAATGATTCGCACGAACGTGAAGGACAAGCTTCCACTGGGGGCCTCATCAATGTGCATCTACCAATTCACCTGCTCATGTGGAGCTAGGTATATCGGCCGTACCCAGCGTTTGCTATCCAAACGAATCAGCGAACACTTACCTTCATGGTTTTATAAAGGAGAAAGAAGATCCCCCCGCCACAGCTCTATCCTAGAACACTTGATCCAATCCGGACACCAAGCAAACCCACAAAGCAACTTCTCAGTTATCTACACAATACGTGGGAATCTTGCCAAAAGAGTACGAATTAAACTTCTTCAAACTGCAGAAGCAATGGCAATTCACATATTGAATCCTGAACTCTGCACACAAAAGAACTTTGTTCAGTCACTAAATCTACAATGGTCCTGATCTATCTCAACACCAAATACGTAATTTTGTCTTACCTGTTTCTTCTTTGTTTGTCTGTTTCTAAATTGCATTATTTTCTACCCCCACCCTCTATTAAATCTCTACCCTCACGACGACTGTTGCTAACTCCATTTTCGTTTATTTTTAAGTGAATTCTACTCAGCTTATCAACTTAACTCTCATCCATTTTCAAGTGAATTCTACTCACATTATTAACTTGACTCTCATTCATTTTTCATTGAACCCTAGCAATTAGATTACGTCACCCAGCCTACTTTTGTAACTTCATTTTAGTTTCTAACCGATTAACGCCTTCTAAATTACGTAATTTGTTGTCAAAAAAAATTAACAATTGCATCTTTGGAAATATTCCTTTTGTTGCCAAGAAAAATTACTATAAATTTGCGGTTTGTACAGCTTGAGAATGATATCGCCGAAAAGAGCAACTCTTTGCTGAACGCCCTCTCTTTTCTATGACTGAATTTATTATCTCTGTATACAGAGAAAGTTCCTTCAACCCCTCCAACTTTCATAGTCTTAATCCCTACCTAGTCATATTACGGCTCTACATATTCTTCGTTTTGTTAGGGTTAGGCTTTTTCGATAATAACTAACCGTGCTGCTGCACTATACGTCCCATGGATGACCGACCTACTGTTAATTTCACCATTAAATGGCAATTTGATGGAAACATTTTTCTTAGAGGCGGTATAGATTGTAGGTTTAAAGACTACCACTAGGGATCGCGCTGGAGACCTTCATCATTAACAAGACGGATGTATTTTACACTGATTCAAGGATCCTAGAATATCTGAAATTCACAAATGAGTCTTGTCTCACACATAACACACACTCGAAGGTACAGAAGCCGAAACCAACAAGTCTGGGAACAGACAGCAACGATACAACTTCAGGTGAACATAGAAAGGACAGAGATGATGAAGATATCTAAACACCAACAACAAAAACATTCATCATCATATATGACAGTAATGTAAAGGAAATCGTCTCACTCCCACCACCCACCACCCACCATCTGTCTGGGCAGCATCATATCAACTATCGGACACATTTCAGTTGAAATTCATTAGGCGTTACAAAAGTATCAAATAAAAGCCTCTATCGGGCTAACCACCTCCCTCCCAATAGGATGTTTATATTTCTTACCTGTTCAAGGGTTAGTTTTGTTTTTTACCAGTTGATCACGGATTGATACCAGTAAGAGAATCACTTCAATGAGTGCGTACTACCGATCATTCCCAAACTAGGATGAAACGCCTGCCTCTATACCTGATATCGATACGTGATCAACTCGCTAAAAACAAAACTAATGCTTACAAACCAACTATAGGAAAGTTATTTGTCATTACTGTGAACCTGTCTTCCCAAAGCAATTTAGAACCAAGACTCAATTTTTATTAGTTTCTTTCACCCTCTGCCTCAATTCTGTTTACCCTACATCCTTATGTCATCTTCATACCTCTCCTCGCCCACACACACACACACACCACCTTTGGATCTGTGACCTTCACCTGTACAAAATTTCACCTGTATTCCATTAATTCACGCCTACTCTTACCTTCTACATAAATGTGTGTGACAAGTTCTCGTGTGTGTGTGTGTGATCAGAATGTCCGAAATGTGTTGCGCAAATACATTACATTACACCTTTCAGATAAGCTACGGCTTCTTATTCTTTCGTCATTATACTATATTATTTACTGATGACCTTCCGAGCACAGTTTCATTGGTAGTGCTACATATATGCGTGTGTTGTCATGATGTGTAGCACATTGCGAGTAGATGTCGAAACAGTGAGTTATTCACAATATTCAAATGAAGCTGGTGTTTTCTGAATATGATTGGTGGTGTATGTGAGTAAAGGTTAAACGACCCCGTAGGTTGATCCAATTAGACAAAACAGAATGACACAATATACGAAATACCTTGCAATGACTGTCAGTTAGGTCAACTACAAAGGTCAAACCACTAGAATGGGTGGGGGGTAGTCAGATAATCAGAACATAAGAATCTAGCCAAATGTAAAACGACTGACCCTGTGAAGACAAATAATCTAGAAGAAAATCAGCAATTGCACTGCATACATTGACGCATAACTACACATTGGGGTGGGACAAGGTCACATCTCTAAAAATTAAATATAGATGGATGAAGAGAGAGAGAGAGAGGTTGATTACCGACTGACTGACTGACTAACTAACTAACTGATGGATTACAACCTGAAGAAGTCATTCCCAGTGTACAATAAGCAATAAGTGCAATAGATAGATGTCGTCACCAGTCAGGTTCATCCAATCAAGTGTGAGCATGGATGTCCCACCGATGACATTGGTTGGTGGTCACGCTAAATGACGAACTGGTAGAAGTTAGAATTCATGCACTAGACATTGAATTGGGTGGGTCCCAGTGACTCGATGGTATGCAAGCCAACTTGCCTTGTAACCGGAAGGTCCTGGGTTCGAACCCTGATACCGGGTGCGTACTAGCGATCATTCCGAAAGTAGGATGAAACAGCTGTCCACTACTCCCTGGCTTTCGTTGGCTTATCTAATTGATATCAATCCGTCGTCAAACTCGTAAACAGATTGGACAATTTTCAGCAAAACACAACAACAAGTCACCGTACAATAGTGCATCTACACTTAAACATCAGAAAACAAACAAAAACTATTGATTATCACAGCTAGTAAATATCACCTGAAAACATTTGATCAACGATTAGAACATAGTAACTGTCAAATCAAACAAGACTAAGCCGACAGCAGTTATGAGATAAATATCAATTAAGTATGTCAATGGACATATTTAAACAGGTCTATATAAGGAGATTAAGAAACCGGCAGGATCAAAAACTCCAAAGCTGACCCAACACGCCCAGTGGAATCATCTTCTCTCTACTACTACTACTACTACTATTAAAATACCCCAATACAGCCACTCAGTCGACTTTACGAATCCGCCGACATTGGAAACATCGAAATATTTCACATGAATATTATGCCTCCCTTAACGTCGGTTAGATGCAAGGCTAACTAATTCACATATAATGCAAACGATTTGTAGCTCAGGTGGATGATATTGCATTAGTTGTCTTCTCTGAGCTGCGTGGTTGATTTAATTACCGAGCTTTCGTTGTCCGCCTTCTAGACAAGGTCTACAGCGCAGGTTTTAGTATAAACTGAACTCATTTAAATTCCCCATGAATGATATAATTGTGTCTCGTGATCGGCTGTTCATTTTTATTGACTTGGAATTCAAAATTTCTTGTCATATGATTGAGGAAATTTTAAACAGAGGAAACACTCAGATGCCAGGGAACCTCTACAAGCCTAATTCTCAAGTAAATTCGCAGTCAAACCAAGGCTAGAGCGCAATCAAATTGATTCATTTCGAGTTAACAAGTATGCACCCTAATATTTCGACTAATACAGCACTGTCCAAATAAACCATCTCGTACTAAGACTGAGTGAGCATGAGAAGACTTCAGTATTACTGTCAAGAAGAAATCATCTTCTGTGGTCATGCATTCCTACACTAGCCAGACAAGTGGGAGTGTTCAACAAAATTGAAACGAAGAATTACAACCTTTAAACTTCCAAACGTATTCGCGAAAATCAACCTAAAATGCTCCGCAGAGCTGGGAAATCCTGATTCCACCAAACCTATGGTGTACATGACCTCCAGAAGGCGAATTGACCGAGTGAACTTGGCCAACGGAAACACTGGGAATGCAGCTCCTCCGGCTGTCCCATTGCCTTGTTGAGAATGAGACTTCAAGTCAAGGGCTCGGACAAGCGGAGATGGCCCTTTAAGTCAACCGCCTGCCTCGGTCTAGACCTCTGAGTAGTATCCTATCCGTCACAATAAAACTATAACATTTTGTGCAGCACATCTCTTGGTGCCCATCATGTACCAAGCCTGCGTATTGATTATGTCATTATGGTAAGGGAAAGAGTAACAATAATAATAACGACAGTAGCGGTAATAATAATGAGAAGAATAACAACAACAATAATAATAATAGTAACGAAAATAATAATAATAATAACGATAAAAACAGTAATGATACAGTAATACAACACTGCAGACAGTCACGAATGAGGTGGACATTCACCCTAAACTAACAAATAGGATTACAGCTCCAGTTGAAAAAAAATAACTATCTGTCTAACCTCCACTGTATTCACATTTCAAAATAAAGTATTCAAAAGCAAACCGAACATATGACCTGCCTGCCTGCCTGTCTGGCAATCATCTCATCAATATCTTACCGAACCAATTAGCAGCCGACATATTTATGGATGCTTGACAAATGTATAGCTCTGACAACGCTTAATCCTGATCCCAGGTTATTGTGGAGCTTTGAGGACGACATATGCATTGTATCCAACCAAAAATATAAACATACCACGAATTGTATTCAAACACATACACTCAGTACTAGATTCAATGCTAGTCTCGCTTTCGAGTTTGAGTTAAGTATGTCACAGGACTATAAAGCAGCACGAAAAAACACTATGGTAGGTAAGATACTGAAATCTGTCACATTCTCATAACACACTTTCAATAATCCGACAGACGGTATAACCAATGTTGCTGAATCATTCAATAGACCAAAGGATTACGAGTGAGCCAGCATTCCGACATACTTATTCCTATTACATGACAAGGCGACATGTTCTCGGTTTTTTCAAGCTTGGAATCGGTGCGGTGCGGTGCGGTGCAGTCCTGCAACATTCATTCACATATCAAAGGAGAGAATCACACGCCAAATATTCCGAGATTTCTGTCCAAAATGTTCACAAGACTCTGCATTTTGTCAGAGTCTTCACATAGCAGGACAATATCATCCCCGTACAAAAATGGGAAGGGTGAGCATTCTTGATAGCCACCACCGACTGTCATCACTTCAGATGGAAAACTTCCACAAGAACTGACACCGCTGAGTCAGTTTGAATACAGTGCCTTGATCAGTGAGGTATACTTCCTTCCTTGGAACTCCTTCATTTCAAATGTGTATATGACATTCTTCAACACCTTCAATTTCTACTACAGCCTCCGAACACTAATTCGTCATCAGGAGGATAACATCACAGTCGCCTTTGTTTATACAAAAACCAGAAGTGCAGAAAATACTAGAATTATTCAAATAAATTAACTATGATGATGATACTCATTCATATGTAACCAAGGATACATTCGATATTCAATTCTAGGTAAAATGAAAATCGAAGGCAGTTTTCAATCTTTCTGATTAATAGGTCTAGAATGAACACAAATATGTTGATGTATTCCTATATGATCATCCAGTCCGACTTCACTGCCTCACGCACCAAGTTTATCTTTCTAAAACTTAACCATATACCAATAAAAAATGCAACAACATTACCTCTTATTTACCTAAGGGTGAAATGTACGCCTTACAAGTCACGCGGGAAGTAACATCAGTAACAAATATGGACAACAAAAGGAGAAACTAAGTTCAATTCACTATCCAGTGAATAAAGAAGTGAGATAAGAACAATAAAAAAGCACCAACCGAACCTCATTACCAAAAAGGACGAACAAAGAAAACAATGGGTTGTTCACTTCAAAAACTCTTCAACTGACCATCACTTACAATCCATCCAGAGATACCACCAACAACCACAGAACAACTGGTCAGTGGATACCAGTCCTCCAACCAATGCACAAGTCTCCGATGCACTCAGGCTACTAAAAGTGGAGAAGACAACAGGACCACGCGGAGTTCTCTTCTGAGGCACTGAAAACAGATCACGAGACGACAGCTGATATCCTCACGACACTAATGCAAAGTGTTTGCAAGGAAAGAGGAGACCATCGGTAGAGTGGGAAATGACCATTTGGGCGTTCGACAGCGGCAACGAGGAAACCGCGTGCGGAGGAAATGAAAACTTATGGGCAATATTGAGGCCGGGTAAAGGCGACTGCAGAACACACGACAAAATGGAAATGACCTATTGAAGTTCTATACAACCAAGGGAATAACAATGTAAAATTCTTTTGCTAAAATCTCTTGGTTTAAGCACATATCAAAACACTAACAACAACAACAAACAATTTAACACTTACATATTTGTTTGCTCCGACTTCAATTGCGACCGGACATCATTTTTCGTAACCCTGTTACCAGTGCTGCTCTGGGAATTTTTAACTATAACTTTAGCTGGAATTTCTTCATCTAACATAATTACGTCATCATCGTCTCCTCCGTTACACTTCAAAGGAAAAAAATCAACGAATTACACAATGAAACCTTTCTTTGTAAAAACGAATTTTGATCAAAATGCTGACTGTATTCAATCACGCTTCATAATATTCAAGTATTCTAACAGTACATTTTCCATACTAACTAGAAGATGAAGATCGTCGAGAAACTCTCACTATAGTTTGACTGGACACTAGTAACTAGTGTTGTACATCTAGTCCTTTCTGTCTTGTGCAGACTGAATTCTATCTGTCAGGTTTGCAACGTGGCCACCATTCTAGGTAGCTCAACATCACGGTGCACGTTGATTTGACGATATCAGATGGTTGGAGGCAATCGCCAGTTACCAGTGTCCAATCTAACCATGCACTACAGTCTTACAGGAGGTCAATCGTCAGCCCGACTGCAACAATGGGTGACGCAGCATCGAATCTCAGAAGCGACCTGACTTCCTTCAAGGTTGCACACAAGCCTTCCTGACGACCAACTAGACAACTAGCACGAGGCTTCCAAGGCTTCCTGCCGATTGCTGCCAACCATCCAATATCATCAAACTTTCACTATTTTCTTGTTTAATCACACTTGCTGAGATCACATTACGCAACACTGGACAATTATATAATCACATTTTTTTCTGTTAAAAAGAACTCTAATCAAATCTTTATGAGTCCTCATCAGATCCGACGCATTAAAATGCATCTCATTTTATGCATAACAGTAAGTCTGAGAAGTCACGGTAATACAAAGAAAGAAAATTACTCACTTAAATATTCTTAGATGAAAATGGTGCCAGTAGTTTAAAAAACAACAACACCATTCAAAACCATAACCACCTAGGGATTACGAGCACCACTTACATGCATGATGTTGCGGATATTCAGATCAACCGACGTTAATGTTCTCTTCATTGATTCGATCTCACCTGATTCAGAGGAAATTACCAAGACAAGAAATCGTCCAATTACTCAAGGAAAGCAGTGTTATCCTCAACAACGTAACAATGAAATAAATTATCCTACCTGAGTAAAAATTTTAAACAAAATAAACGACAGAGCAGAAACATTGAAAAAATCAAGCCGACAACCCAAAGGAAAACCGACAATATATATATACATCAAGTATTGGTTTTGTAGGGATATTTGTTAGATTGCATGGAGGATTTCATCATGAGCTAACATCAGTTAGAGGACCATTGGAAAACCTGGGAGTACTGGACAACCGATGAAGAGTCCCAAACTAGGATGAAACAGCCGTCCAGTAATGCCTGTCGGTTTTCCAATGCTTCTCTAACTGCTGTCAGCTCATGATGATATCCGCCAACCAGCCATTTAATTCATTATAAAAACAGAAGTGAACGAACAATTTGAAAGATTCCCAATTGTTAGTCAGATAGTTAGATCCACGTCAAGAACCAATATCACAGTTACAGAGATAATTGAGAGGCAGACAGGGAGCACTGGACAGCCGTTTCTGTCATCCTAATACGGTACTATTTAGCAGTGTGAACCCACGACAGTTTGGAGAACCGAACCCTGAACCTCCGTGTTTGCAGTCCAAGCTGCTTACAAAACAGCTGTCGAATACTCCCCGCCTTTCATTAACCTCTCGAACTCATGTTTCTTCCTGACACGAATATAAGAATTGAAACCAACCCTAAATTTCCACAAATCTGGATTAGGAAAGAACTAAACACTGGAATAGAATAAGAGACTCAAAACAAAACCTTCAGCATTCTGGCTTCGGAGTTATATTGATAAGTCGGGAGCGTCTTCGCCATATATATATATATACATACATACATATATATACAGAAACTCCAACCCGTGTTAAGCACCGTCCTGTGACCTCAATCACTGTATACAGATAGATTAGGTCCAGTCCCTTATTAGTCCATGGTCTTCACCTCGCTTGCGGTCGTCTCCGAGGGCGCACTATGAAGAGTACCAAACTAGGACGAAACAGCAATCTCGCAATACTCCCAGGCTACCAATGGTTCGCTAACCGATTTCAACGCATGATGAAATCCGCCAACCAACCAATTAATTAATTCACTGTTATCACTCTTCGATATTCCTTCCTTGTGTACACTTTCTCATTTCATTCACATCTGTCAAGTGTACACTCCACTCACTATCAGCTTACTTTCTCAACGAATAACAATTTTTTCACCTTATCTAATCGAACAACCTGCTCTTCAGTTGTGTCATTCAGGTATCATGTTGTTTTTTTCTCACTTTGATTTATTTTAGAAACTACTTTTGAGTAAGCTTTGAGCTAATCGTGGGGCCAGTTAACGAGCATAGAGGAGAGCAGGACAAATATGGAGATGTACTGCTGAAGACCCATGCTCACCACAGAACCAAACGGAATCTAAATAACAACAATTGTGGATGTGTAAAATATCAGTTAACGACAAGTGTGACCTAATATAAACAACCTCCCTACGATTACATTATCATCATCATCATCATCATCATATAAAAATGAAATGTCATTCTACTACAGAAAAATATACCCACCCAGTATAGTGAGCCAGTCATCTAGTGGGGTCGTGTAATAATCGCAATGAAAAAGTGAAAATACAAAACGCAATTAATTATCCATCGAGCAAAGACAGAAACACTCACTTCCAACTGGATAAACTCGTCCACCGTAGATTGATTAGTCCTGTGATTTAAATTTGAACAATATATCGCGGTATAATGACTTGAAGAGGATTTTGGTTCTGTAATTGTTGAATATATATTAATAGTAGAGTCAGTGTCTACTACCAGAATAGTAGTGAGCAATCTGACGGATTCCTGTTCACGTACAATAACAGACTGGTTATATCGTGACACTTTATATAGTATTTTTTTATTACACACTTTCACACTTCCTATTGGTGAGATCACATCATGTGATGATCCAGTCACCTCGGTCCTACTATCCCCCCTATCATGCATATTATTTTACACTAGCCAATCACATGATAGAGTACACGACCTTCAAATGACAAGGCCATTTCCTATCACACATTCTCTTCCAATCATGGATTAGAGAAAATCAGTCTGCCCGATCGACATCCCCTTGAATAGGTACTCCTATTCATGTTCTTACTGTTAGAAAGTATATTATATTATGTATAATATCCGGTCCATTCTTGATCACAGTTCATACGTATATTAATATTAATATATAACAATAGCCAGTTATCCTTTTATGGTTATATTTTTAAATTGAATAACAGATTAGTTATGGGATGACCAAAAGTGCTGGGCTGAATGCAATCAAAAAACATTGTGATATGGTGGTGACATAAATACATAAAAATATCCTCCAAGCAATAATAACAACCTAATAGAAAAAAATGGAGGGCAGGAAAACTGACTCCTCAGTTGAAGGTTGTAAATTGTGTCAATTCAGTGGCTAGTACAAAATAAAATGAATTTGAGAGAAGATAGTAAGACGTGACATTTGACTGGGACAGATTTGACCGCATGGATTGGTGGATAGCTGTTTCGTCTTAGTTTAGGACTCTTCATGGGTACTCACTTACCGGGGCAAACCTTGTACCTTCTATGTACTAGGTGTGCTCGTACACCATTCATTCACTGGGAACTGATCCAGTGGCCAATTCACGAATAACAATTTCTGCTGATCCATGATATATAGCGAAGAAATACGAGTCATTGTCATCGGATCTACCCACATAACAATGCACACGCTTGTATGGAAAACCCACTCCCACTAGACACTATACTCACTTCCTGAGCTTCGAACCACTGCATTACAAACGTAAGCCGATAAGATGTCTGGTTCGCCGAGCTACATTCGTGATCTACTAAGTAGAAACGAATATCCGACTAAATTCGTGGACAAGTACTTGAACTCAGAAAGTAAGAAGTCAAAGTTGACAACTGTACCCAAAAATTCAATCTTCCCAAGATTACAATTCATGGGTGATGTCAATAGCGAGATCTTACCACAATGTCTGAGAAGGGCCTTGAAAAGAACTTTCAACGAAATTAAGCTTTGCTGTATATTCACTAGGCAACCAATATTCAGTTCAAGAATTGAAGACAAACTAACCTTGTGTATTTTTCAGTTTAACTTTCCGTGCGGAGCTAGTTACATAGGGCATACGATCAGCCAAGTTCATCGAATCGTCGAATTTCTGAACACCTCCCATCTTGGTTTGGCAAAGGTCCGAATAAAGCTGTTATATGCAGCTCAATACTAGCTCATCTCGTCGATACTGACTGAACATCAAATCGACTCTAACAAAATCTTGCTAGTTTTTACGAGTTGATCACGGATTAATATGAGTTAGAGAACCATTGAAAACTAGTACTGGAGTGCTGGACAGCTGTTTTATCCTAGTTTGGGAATCATTGGCAGTACTCACCTTCTGGGATTAATTTTTACAGTGCTAGCTAATTCTATTAACTTGTTTGTATTTTACGTAATTCTTCCTAGTCATCATTGCTATTTTACAAATTTCTTGATTATGTAATAATTTGTTTCTAACGCCTAAGAATTGACGTTTCTTGAATTCCGTAGTTATATTCAACCCTCCTTCCCTAGAAACTTAGATATCTTATTAGCGACATCTATTAGTTAATTGATGTTCTGATGACTTTCAACCTCTTAATTTTATCACCCTCCGCTTATACTTAGAACTGATGGACTAAAATAACCCCTAGATTGGTGAAACATTTTGATGTTAAAAGGCGACTATATATTAGTGTAGAGCCAGTGGATGATGAGGAAGTAATTGAAAAGGAATATATTTCTCAACTCAACATGTTTCTTTTTTCTCTATATATGCTTGATATCACTATCAACTGGCTCTACGAATGCCCACACGCTTTCATTTTGCTGTCCAAGTTCCCTTCGTACTCATGGCCAATTCGTCACTTCCATTCGGTTTCCACTCGATCGCCTAACAACTAACGTGTTATATCATGCAACGGTCTTCTCAGCGTATGTCCAATCCATTCATCTCCCTATTAGTTCTGCATATTTATCAGCTGGTTCACTATCTGCCAGAATACCATACCATTAGGATTATCCTATCTGTCCGACTATGTGATCTTCGATATCTAGAGAACTCAGGTGTTGGTGAAAGTCAGTAGCGGTGAACTGATGGAGATGTTTCTGGTGACTCATGTACCAATTCCCTGAACCATACAGAAACATTGACTAATTTAAAAATAAAAGGTAAATACTCCGATCTTGTTCCATCTGCTACACACACTTAATATATCGTAATGAAAGACTGATATAAGAACAGACCACCTTGATCCATGTGGTTGGGTAGGTATAATTCCACCAAAGAGTAAATTTGTTTGATACAGTTTCACAGTGTTATACATTAATATTACTTACTGACGACCACGTTTCCATCACAATCTTCATTACTGCTCATAATCAATATCGAGGCTCTACTCACACAACCCCTTCTCACTTTGTGCATAATAATTCCATTATTTTTCGTCACTTGATTTGATGATTGGTGGTAGTAGTAGTGTAATAACAGAAGACAGGGGTCAGGCATCAGGTCGTTTATTAAGGAAAATCAACACATATTTATAGATTTTATTGTACATTATTGTAGATTATTGTTAGTAGAAAATACAGTCTTTTGACTGGTTGTTTCTCACAGAAAGTTAACCATGCATCTCTTTGTGGCTGTGTCAGATCATCCATATGCTAACTGTATCCGCCTACGCAAAGCCTTTGTTCTCATTTTCTCACCACCAATATTGGCGACATAAACATTGACGTCAATTACTGTCTACCAACTTTGGCTAGCTAGCAGCCAGCTCTCGTCACAGTAGTAGCGTTTTGCATATCTCTGGTACTAGTGGTGATGAGTCATTCCTATTGCTTGTGTTGTGTTGGGTGTAGATTATCCTATGAGCAAAGATTCACTTTGTCAGTCAGTCGGTAATCAACCTCTCTCTCTCTTCATCCATCTATATTTAATTTTTAGAAATGTGACTCTGTCCCACCCCAATGTATAGTTATACGTCAATGTATGCAGTGCAATTGCTGATTTTCTTCTAGATTATTTGTCTTCACAGGGTCAGTCATTTTACATTTGGCTAGATTCTTATGTTCTGATTATCTGACTACCCCCCACCCATTCTAGTGGTTTGACCTTTGTAGTTGACCTAACTGACAGTCATTGCAAGGTATTTCGTATATTGTGTCATTCTGTTTTGTCTAATTGGGTCAACCTACGGGATCGTTTAACCTTTACTCACATACACCACCAATCATATTCAGAAAACACCAGCTTCATTTGAATATTGTGAATAACTCACTGTTTCGACATCTACTCGCAATGTGCTACACATCATGACAACACACGCATATATGTAGCACTACCAATGAAACTGTGCTCGGAAGGTCATCAGTAAATAATATAGTATAATGACGAAAGAATAAGAAGCCGTAGCTTATCTGAAAGGTGTAATGTAATGTATTTGCGCAACACATTTCGGACATTCTGATCACACACACACACGAGAACTTGTCACACACATTTATGTAGAAGGTAAGAGTAGGCGTGAATTAATGGAATACAGGTGAAATTTTGTACAGGTGAAGGTCACAGATCCAAAGGTGCTGTGTGTGTGTGTGTGTGTGTGTGGGCGAGGAGAGGTATGAAGATGACATAAGGATGTAGGGTAAACAGAATTGAGGCAGAGGGTGAAAGAAACTAATAAAAATTGAGTCTTGGTTCTAAATTGCTTTGGGAAGACAGGTTCACAGTAATGACAAATAACTTTCCTATAGTTGGTTTGTAAGCATTAGTTTTGTTTTTAGCGAGTTGATCACGTATCGATATCAGGTATAGAGGCAGGCGTTTCATCCTAGTTTGGGAATGATCGGTAGTACGCACTCATTGAAGTGATTCTCTTACTGGTATCAATCCGTGATCAACTGGTAAAAAACAAAACTAACCCTTGAACAGGTAAGAAATATAAACATCCTATTGGGAGGGAGGTGGTTAGCCCGATAGAGGCTTTTATTTGATACTTTTGTAACGCCTAATGAATTTCAACTGAAATGTGTCCGATAGTTGATATGATGCTGCCCAGACAGATGGTGGGTGGTGGGTGGTGGGAGTGAGACGATTTCCTTTACATTACTGTCATATATGATGATGAATGTTTTTGTTGTTGGTGTTTAGATATCTTCATCATCTCTGTCCTTTCTATGTTCACCTGAAGTTGTATCGTTGCTGTCTGTTCCCAGACTTGTTGGTTTCGGCTTCTGTACATTCGAGTGTGTGTTATGTGTGAGACAAGACTCATTTGTGAATTTCAGATATTCTAGGATCCTTGAATCAGTGTAAAATACATCCGTCTTGTTAATGATGAAGGTCTCCAGCGCGATCCCCAGTGGTAGTAATTAGTCTTGTCATACTGCTGTGTTCACATCACATTGACTCTATTCACGGAGTGACTGAATGCTGAGGAGTGTGCGAATAGTTTTCAGTTCTCATTCATTTCATGGAGTACCTGCCAGCACAGGATGAATTGTGTTCTC